CCAAAAAGAATTCCTATACAATCTACACATTTTTCAGTAGGTCTGTGACATTTCCTGATTGGCTAAACGACGTGTCAATCAGTGATTTTCTTACTGGCCTACGTTGATCTGACTCATTTTATAAGCTGTACTATTTCCAATAGATCATTTTTAAGATGGTTCTGCTATGATTAGTGTCTGGCAAAAAGCTTCAGCAGATATTTCTTTTGCAACATTTCAAGATCTACATGAGCTGATGTTTCCATTTATGACCGTTATATTTTAAGATCTGTGCAAGAAGTCAGCTAACAGATGTTTCCGTATATCAAAGCTATCTTCATGGAAAGAAATGTTAAATGATACAGATATCAAAGAAGAAAGGAAATGTTAAATGATACAGATATTACAGAAGAAAGGAAATGTTAAATGATACAGATATCACAGAAGAAAGGAAATGTTAAATGATACAGATATCACAGATGAAAGGAAATGTTAAATGATACAGATATCACAGAAGAAAGGAAATGTTAAATGATACAGATATCACAGATGAAAGGAAATGTTAAATGATACAGATGAAAGGAAATGTTAAATGATACAGATATCACAGAAGAAAGGAAATGTTAAATGATACAGATATCACAGAAGAAAGGAAATGTTAAATGATACAGATATCACAGAAGAAAGAAAATGTTAAATGATACAGATGTCAGAGATCAAAGGAAATGTCAAAAGATGGAGATTTTCACAACTGGAATAACCCCATATTTTGTTTTAATATTTATTTTTGTTGTACCAATTGAGAAATATTTCTAAACTTGTTTGTTGAGAAACCAATCTTATAAAAATATTTTTCACAAAACTACGTACAGTCCATATTTTTTCAAATTTATTAATTACTCTTATAATACTGGTAAGAAGCTACCTGTTTCTCTACATAATAGCCTACCTGTTTCTGTTGAAAACACCCTAAAACTGTTATCCCAGAACCCACAAGCTATTAGGAAACGACTATCAACGGTGGTCACAAAACAGCTGGATCTCATTCGGACATGTTCACTAAAGTTATCTCCAAGATGTCTCTTTTGTGATCCCACATTCATCACTGTAATTTAGACAAAAACAACAACACTACTTGTAACAACTACTTCAGAAACACATTACAAGATTCTACATATTTTCACATGAACACCTAATTATTTTTATGTGGTGTATTTATGTTTAATCTAAATAAACTGTTTTATGTGTAAGCATATGCACTTATAAACAACGTAGTAGATACATATAACAAGTAACATTTATAACACTCAGGCTCAGAAACCTAACATCTGTTATGTCAACAAGGTATTAGGCTTCTGGGTATGAGAGTTATTGACATTACCAGGTGTTAGGTTTCTGGGTTTGAGGGTTGTTGACATTACCAGGTATTAGGTTTCTATGTGTGAGGCTTGTTGATATAGCAGATGCTAGGTTTCTGGGTTGTGAGGGTTGTTGACATTACCAGATATTAGGCTTCTGGGTATGAGAGTTATTGACATTACCAGGTGTTAGGTTTCTGGGTTTGAGGGTTGTTGACATTACCAGGTATTAGGTTTCTATGTGTGAGGCTTGTTGATATAGCAGATGCTAGGTTTCTGGGTTTGAGAGAAGATATTAGGTTTCTGTGTGTGAGGGTTGTTGACATTACCAGATATTAGGTTTCTGGGTGTGAGGGTTGTTGACATTACCACTTATGTCAACAACCCTCACACACAGAAACCTAATATCTCTTATGTCAACAACCCTCACACACAGAAACCTAATATCTCTTATGTCAACAACCCTCACACACAGAAACCTAATATCTCTTATGTCAACAACCCTCACACATAGAAACCTAATATCTTATGTCAGCAACCCTCACACCCAGAAACATAACATCTCTTATGTCAACAACCCTCACACATAGAAACCTAATATCTTATGTCAGCAACCCTCACACCTCGAAACCTAACATCTCTAATGTCAGCAACCCTCACACCTCGAAACATAACATCTCTTATGTCAGCAACCTTCACACCCAGAAACATAACATCTCTTATGTCAGCAACCCTCACACCCAGAAACATAACATCTCTTATGTCAGCAACCCTTACACCCAGAAACATAACATCTCTTATGTCAGCAACCCTCACACACCTGGGTGTGAGGGTTGTTGACATAAGAAATGTTATGTTTCTGAATGTGTGGGTTGTTGACATAAGAGATGTTATGTTTCTGGGTGTGACGGTTGCTGACATAAGAGATGTTATGTTTCTGCTGACATAAGAGATGTTATGTTTCAACCCTCACATAGAAACCTAACACCTGCTATGTCAGCAACCCTCACACCCAGAAACCTAACATCTCCTATGTTAACAACCCTCACACCCAGAAACCTAACACCTTTTATATCTACAATCTTCCTGCCCCAAAAACATAAAATTTATTATTTCTGCATCTCTCACACCCAGAAACTTAACATTTTTTCCCTATTCAAAGTTCCTATGAGGACTGATAGAACTTACTGAGCAAAGGATCCATGGACAGTGGCAGCTGATTTTGTGAAGTTTGTGAAGATTCTGAATATGGGGAACTGTGAAGAGGACCTGAAAAGAAAGTGGAAAAAGAAGATTGTTTCGAAATCTAAAATTAAAACAAAACCATTTTAAGATGTTCTCAAAGATAAACTATGAAAAGAGAAAATTTTCTAAATACATGTATACCAGTCATATAAAACTCTAAGGTAGCTAAAACTCACAGGATAATAAGTAATTCTTATTGGTAATAAAAGGAGGAACTTTGTGTCCAATCCTTTTAAGTCAGCAAACTTTTTTGTTATTCACATCTAACAAAATTTAATTTAAAATGTAATAACAAACTAAATGAATTACCAGATTACGTTAAAGGAGAACTTTCTCAATGTGAATTCTTTTAGAGTGTTAGCTTCAAGTTGCTAATACCACTCATTACTGTACTTCAACAAAACTGTTCAGAATCGTAACGGAAGGTTTAAATCTGCGAATCCTTATTCACATAATAGAATGTTACTTAAAATTAGCTGCAACATTTAATTACAAGCAGCTTGGAAAGTTTGTAGCTTGGCAATTACTTACCCGAGAATGACGAATTCCATCGATTGACAGCAAAGTTTTGGTTACAGGTTACTGTTACAACAGATGGTAAAGGCAGCTGTGGGTAAGTATTTGCTGAAATGTGACAGATTGGAGAGTTGGATAGAAACTTGATAATCATGCATACTTCTTCAGTGACTGGTGAAAACATCATTGGACTCTAAAACAGTTCCAGAAAACTATCTTGTAATGTGTAACACCTTCTTACGTATGTATATATAACTATATATATATTGAAAAATCAGAGTAACGTATTTTTCGGTGTATAAGACTCACTTTTTATCCCAAAATTTGATGTCAAAATCTGCTTACGTCCTATACACCGAAGGTATGAATAATATATATGTATATATACGATATACACAAGCCATGTGTAAATATATTTAAATACGCATGCATAGTTTAGTTCAATTGAATGTGTTATTTATAACAATAGTAGTTTTTTTTCCTTTTAAAAACATAATTATTTATAATGCTCCCTAAATAATAAT